TTTGAAGTACCCCTAAAGTTCTTCTCTAATATAGCCGAAATCGTCTCGAATTGCTGGTTCACCCGAGCGCAAAAGGCCTCGAGTGCAAAGGGTTAATAGAAGCTCATCTGTTGTCTCTGCTGTTTTTAAGTTTGGATAAACAAAATTCTACTACATTTATACATATACGTTGATTTACTTATTACTACGACTTACCTGGTCTCTGGATCCACTGTTTTATGTCCTCGTTCCTAGTATAGGCAGAGCCGGCTGCCTCGCCACAAAGAATCGCTATGTGTTTGGAGATATCTTTGGATTCAGATATATCCAAAAACAAGTCCATCGTATAATTCACATGGCCCTTGTCTTCCTCAGCCACGCGTACTGTGCCTGGATTCTTCTGCCTCAGCTTAGACATGGCGTCGGATGATATGAAGTCGACTTTGAAGAAGTGATTGACGAAACAGAGAACTTGGTATTGATTCTGACCACGTTCCTCTTCGCCGAGGACCAAGGCTTTTATTATTTGCACTTCCTGAGGGCGAAGTTATTTATCAATATTATGTATCACATTTAAAAGGGGAAATACAGGATTCTGAAATGAATGATTACATTTTTGAAGTCGATAAGCTGTGTCACCAAGGTCCCATCTGAACACTGGAATTCTAAGACGATAACATCCTCAGTAACGTTGGAAGAGATCGTTTCCAACAGAATATCGCCACCCTGTAAAATACGAACGATTGATTCGTAATTAACATCTTGTTTTATTTGATGTTTTAAGTATATCATCGTAACAGATTCCCGAATACGAACATGTCATTTTTATTACAAAATTCTGTTATTTTACTTGTTCTGATTCTAATGCAATAAATAAAAGTACACGTACCTGATTCTTTACGTTGATGAGCAAGTGGCTGGTACACAGATTACACAGATAATGTAACAAAAAGTACACTGCACACAGTTCACTGATTTTCTTCATTATCGTTTACTCGTTTACTATAATTACATCTGTCACGATGACGGCTGCGGCAGCCATGTTGGATATCTCTGAGGAACATCGAGAGTTTCTGTTTTATACGTTGGTAGTAACTAGACTGATTTGTTTGTACGTTGGTCAGCCTGATCAAAGGGCGCGGTAACGGCCCCGTCAGGTGGCAGCATCGCCGACGGGCACCGCGCACCCTTATATCAAAATTCCACATTTTAAATTATGCGAATATTAATTTGTTTGAAACGTTTTGATAGCGTCTATATAAGTAATGAGTTGTTAACCATTAACTGGTACTCTATCTAAAGATATGAGTAATCACTTTCATACTGATAACAATTGTCGAAAATGAAAAGAAATTTGTACTGCGTTTCTCCTTACATACAAAGCATATACATATAAGAATAAACCATCATAAACTGTAGAACTGGGCCAACAAGTATTGTAATTGTATGTATGAAAATAACGAAAATAATAATAAAAATGCCGAAAACCTGCCTTATATGTAAAAAAGAATCAGATCCAACGTCCACACGTAGTTTTCACAAGTACGTATTGCATTTGTAGTTTATAGGTAATCTTAACCTAAAAATTTCATTCTCATTGATTCCTATTATGAATGCAGATTTCCCAGAGATGAATCAATGAGGCAAAAGTGGCTTGATGTTGTAAATGTATCAAAAACTCTGAATTTCAAAACTGCATGCATATGCAGTGATCATTTTGATGAAGAGTCATTTTATTCTGATGATTGGAGACAGAAAAGGTGGCTACGCAAAGAAGCTGTTCCAAAAACGAAAGAAACAAAGGAGACTGCAATAATTGATGTTAATAATTGTGAACTAAGTGATATAACAGAAGATATAAGTTTAGAATTGTGTACTGTTGAGGTATCTTCAAGAAATTCTCTCGATTTTCAAACAAGTAATGTACTTGAAGATGTAAGTTTACAGTCACATCTGAATGAAAACATTGAAATGTGTACAAATGACATATCGTTGATAAAATCTATGGACTCTCAAGAGAGCGACGTGTCACAAGATAGTAGTTTACAGTCAAGTACTAAAAAAATGACTGAAACATACACTCAAGAAGTGCCTTTGAACAATTCTGAAACGTTGAATGGTAGTACCCTAAGTAGTGAATTAAATAGTAAGAAAAGGTAAATCTCTTTCACAGCAACAATGAAAATGCATTATTGATGCATAAGAGAATTAAAATACTTCTTTTCATTACAATTATGTGTAATATAAATTATAATTTTAGGAAATGTTCATTGAATAAGGTTAGAACACGAACGAAAGTGCGTTTCATCAATCATTTTAAAACGGAATATGTATGTCGAGAAGATTTTATTAGTGAAGAAGCTTGGAATCGATTTTTAAGATACTATGCTCATCAAAAGTCTATCATTGCAACTGCTTATAATAGAACTGCACGCAAACAAAAGAAAATTAAAAGTTTGACTGCTTTGATAGGTACTTCTAAAAAAAGAGAAAGAAAAGACTTCGCTGCTGCTGTACGTATGACGATTTAATTTTGATAATATTCATTATTTATATTTTCTAT